TGCATTTGTCTGATAATGATTGGATAATATGGATAGAGTTGGGTCCGATAACTGGGGAGGTGTCAAAATTCTTAATCCTATTAACTTATAGTATAAGTTTTGGCAACCAAACTTGCATTGTATCCTTAAACAGAGCCACTATGATGAAATCCAATGGTATAAACCCATGGAAATGGATATGGTTCAATGCCGGGAGGAGGGATTGCCAAATTCCATATTCACTAATTTAGTAAGGTAGATATTTCAGTATTTGTAGCCTACTTTCACTAGAGAATAGAGATTCTTTAGTGCTTCCTGGTATGTCTTGGGATTAAAAATTGATGTCAAAGTCAAGGAAAAATGCAAGATGCTAGCGGCAAAACAATTAAATGACATGTGAGATTGAATAGAATGATCTAAAGGCTATCGTTTATCTTTTTGATGGGCAACAGGCGCATGTAGTAAAGATAATTCTCTAGTTGGTTAATGAATATTTCATTCAAATAATGTTGTTGGAGGTGCTATCATAGCAGGAGGACGAGGTCATGGTATATATAATTGTTGAGGTGGAATGATTGGTATAAATGCTTTGGGAGGAAGTAAAACTGGTGAAGTTGTTTTATAATTATGACATTAGGCGATCAAGTCATTAAAGTGAGTACACGTTTTGGATATTTCGGGTTTATTATTTAGTGGTGGTGAAATAGATGAGAATATTATTAGTAGAATTCAAGTTGGATGGTTGAAATGGAAGAATTCATTGGGCCTATTGTGTAATAAAAAACACCCCTCAAAATTAAGGGAAAATTTTATAAAATGGTGTTGAGACCTATAATGCGTTATGCTATAGATTGTTAGCCATTAGAAGAGAAGCATTAAATTAAGATAAGTGTTGTAGAGATGAGGATGCTCAGATGGATGAGTGGCTTTACTCTTAGAGACAAAATGCAAAACAAGTATATACGTGAAATGGTTGAAGTAGCTCAATGACAGATAAGATTAGATAGAGTTTCCTTATGTAATACCCGACCGTATGTGGAAGGAAGACGAAGAGGAGGCCGAAGGAAACGCTGTAGAAGCTAAAGGGGTTGTTTGTCACTTGGAATCGTGAAACCCTAACGAGCGAATAGGTCGAAGCGTTCCGTCAGTTGGGAGACGAAAGGGTGGGCTTTTCATTCATGAGGTAAGCGAGGAG